TGTGTGTGTGTGTGTGTGTGTGTGTGTGTGTGTGTGTGTGTGTGTGTTATAAACTTAATATGAATTGCTTTCTTTTTCCTTACTAAGGTGAGTAGTGTGACCCAGATTGCTTTGTTAAGGAAAAAATAAGTCTATTCATTCTCTTCTAGGCGTTTATATACACAATGACTGGTCTTTTTTTTGCCTTACTAAAGAAACTTTCAGGCACACCTGTGACACTTGTTTCCCATAGATTTTCTCTAAAAAATTATGTGACTATAAAATCTCATTTATCATCTTTAATTCAGGTAGCAATGAATAGAGCCCAAGTCTGTTTGATATCTAGTTCCAAATCTGGAGAGAGGCATCTCTACCTTATTAAAGTGTCAAGAGACAAAATATCAGACAACAATGACCAAGAGTCGGCAAATTGTGATGCAAAAGGTAATTACCTTCATTTGCTTTGTTGCACAAAACTTGGCTGAGTTGGAAAAAAAAACTCATGAAGTAATACTTGACAATAATCTAATTGAAAATATACCCTTTTTGAATAAAATGGTATTTTCTAATCTAGATCCCTCAGGTAAAATAAACTCTTTTGGTGTTTTTAAAAAAGAAAGAAAGGCTATACGTAAATACTTCAGTTTAAAAAAATTAAAAGGCAGGCATCTGCTTAGATCCTTCTGTGAAAAAACTAAAACAATCTTTTAATTTTGACTTTTTAAGAGGAAAATATACCCTATTTTAAGAAATTTGTGATGATTAGATGATAATACAGATTGCTTTGTCTAGTCACTTCAATTACATATATTCCATTCTCTGTTAAACTTATTTTTGACAAATGTAGCAATAGTCATAAAAAGTCTGAAAATAAGTTGCTTTGACCCAATCTCAAGTCATGTGACTTTGCAAGCCATCTATTTTTAGCTGAAAAAGGATCAAGTATGTTGGGTGAGGTTATTAGTCAGAGAGCTTTGGAAGAGACCTAGGCTATAAACTAGAGATATCAATCTAGCAGAAAATTTTTTCATGGTTAATCAGGTCCACAGATGCTAATTAAATCATTGTTTACTGACATGGCAGTATGCAATGGACAGTGTTTTAGAATCCAGAAGAGCTGAATCTCTGTTAAGCACAATATAAGGACATAAGCAAGATGTCGCGGGGGAAGAGAGTCAGAGGATAGGAGGGTGGGCTCAGCTGCTCACAATCTAGCCTCAGAGCCCTGCCATCTCTCCAGTTTATTGATTCTGGGCTTATCCCAGTGGCTTCTGCCTCTGCACACATTATTTTGGACTGTTTCCTTAACATATTTTTCTCTGTATCTGACCCAGGCTGTTTTCTCTTTCAGTATTTCCTCATTTCAGGTCCATTGTTGGTTTTTCTTAAGCTTATAAGGTTTTTGTTTTGTCAGTTAGTTTCATCATGGTGGGGATCACATTACACCAGTGCATCATGGTAGGATTATCTACAGCTCTTTATGTTACATGCATCTTTGTACTGATTTTTTTCACTCAACATTTTCTCATGTTCTGTTCTCTTTGTAGCTGTTATATTTAAGGAGTGTGTAATACTCCATTGGATAGCAGTTCCGTAATTTAATCATTTCCATATTATTTTTTGATTATATGGTTGCTTTTGACAATTTTCTTTTCTAAATAATACCATAGTGAGCATCCTCATGCTATAGATTTATCCATATTTCTGAGTAGTTGTTTAGGATAGATTCCCAGGAAGAGAATTACTGGGTCAAAGACAGTAAAAAAAAATTTATGGCTTTTGGTATTTTTCAAGGGCTATAAAGGGAGGTTTCTTACAGACAAATAAGAGAAGATTTGTTAAGTATGAATTTGAAGTCCTTTGCTTAGCAAATATTTGAATGCCTTGTAGGTGTAGAATCCCATATCTGACCTCAATCATGGAAAGCACACTCGCTCTGGAGGAGCATATATTCTAGCTAGCACTGAGAAACACAAATGAAATAGCTGGACTTTACAATCAGAAATGAGAATTACCTAGGACTGCAGGTTGTTAGGCAGGCAGAGCAGAGGGGGGTCATGTTGAGGGAGTGGAAACAAGCAGCTCCCTCCTTCTCATCATTGTCAGAAGAATGTTGGCAAGAATTCAGTCCCATAGGGCCATGGTTATTAAATTTAACCATAAAATTGGTCATGTGAATTTTCTTTCTAATACTCCTATTTCTGGAAGTGCAGTGTCCTAACTGATTTTCATTGGTCTCATTTTAGCAATATTTGCTGTACTCACGAGTGTTTTGACAAAAGATGACTGGTGGAACCTTCTTTTGAAGGCCATATACTCCTTATGTGACCTATCCCGATTTCAGGAGGCTGAGTTACTTGTGGATTCTTCATTGGAATATTACTCATTTTATGAGGACAGGCCAAAACGCAAAGAGCTAGAATACTTTGGTCTCTCTGCTGCAATTCTGGACAAAAATTTCAGAAAGGCATATAACTATATCAGGTGATTTTCCAATAACTTATTTTAATTAGATTCTTTGATGGAGCATGTATATTTACTTTGACGTAGTTTCTCATGTCCAGGATTTAATAAGCTGTTTTATTTTAACTCTTGTCACTTACAGATTAATTTGTTCATTGGTGATTCTCAGAAGCAGTATATGAGAGCATGCATTCTCATTTACTTAAGCTCTTGTGCCTCAGTCTCCCCATTTATTGTGATAAAACAGGCATCATAATATTACCACCTTATAGGATTACTGTGAGAGTTAAGTGAGTTGTCGTATGTAACACCTTTTAACAATGTCTGATATACATTATTATTATGCAGTGTTCATTGTTCTGCAGCTATGAGAGTGGGCTGGGAGAGAAAAGGTGAAACTTAAACCTCTTGATTCTGTTTTGTGGTTTAAAAGTTTTGTTGAAAAGCAGAAACAAGATGTAGAAGCACTACATCCCCCTTGTTGGGGGCAGTGCATTTCAGTGTTGGTGGGACACCACTGAAAGGTTTCAATCTTAAAAATCAGGAAGATTTTTCTTTTTACATTATTTTTTACCCTCACCCTCTTTCTGCAATTTTAGGATAATGGTAATGGAAAATGTCAATAAACCCCAGCTCTGGAACATTTTCAATCAAGTTACCATGCATTCCCAAGATGTACGACATCACCGCTTTTGTCTCCGTTTAATGCTGAAAAACCCAGATAATCATGCCCTGTGTGTCTTGAATGGACACAATGCATTCGTATCTGGTAGTTTTAAGCATGCACTTGGTGAGTGTCCTGGCATATGACTTTGTCTCTTTCCCTCTGCCTTGGTTTCTTTATCTCTGAAATGGAGATAATAATTGGACCTACCCTGTAGATTATTGTGGAAATTAAATGAGTTAATATAAAGTACTTAAAATAATGCCTGGCACATATAGTAAGTGGCTATAAGTGTTCTCAGTAACTATAATAATTAATATTTATTTTTCTTATGATGCTTTGGTTTCAAAAGGTTAAAGTAGGTCTTTAAAGTAGGACTTTGTTTTTTTGAATGGTTTTTTTAATTAATTAATTTTGGCTGCATTGGGTCTTCATTGCTGCATGTGGGCTTTCTCTAGTTGCAGCAAACGGGGACTGCTCTTCGTTGCGGTGCATGGGCTTCTCATTGCAGTGGCTTCTCTTTGTTGTGGAGCACAGGCTTCAGTAGTTGTGGCATGCGGGCTCAGTAGTTGTGGCTCACAGGCTCTAGAGCACAGGCTCGGTAGTTGTGGCACACGGGCTTAGTTGCTCTGCGGCACGTGGGATCTTCCCAGACCAGGACTCAAACCTGTGTCCCCTGCATTGGCAGGTGGATTCTGAACCACTGCGCCACCAGGGAAGTCCGAAAGTAGGACTTTAAAGCTCAACAACTCTCCCTGCTGAGGCTTGTTCGTTCTCAAAATAATTTTCATTAATTATGGATGCTTTGCTACCTGATTTAATTTGCTATAGTAACAAAGAGGAACTTAAGATTTGCTGATAGTTCACTCCTTTAGGACTGTGGTCCCGAACCTTTTTGGCACCAGGGACCAGTTTCATAGAAGACAGTTTTCCCACGAACCAGGGGTGGGGTTGGGTGGAGGGGGGTGGGGGTGGGGATGATTTTGGGATGATTCCAGTACATTATATTTATTGTGCACTTTATTTCTATCATTATTACATTGTGATGTATAATGAAATAATTATACAAATCACCATAATGCAGAATCAGTGGGAACCCTGAGCTTGTTTTTGCTCGCCACTCACTGATAGAGTTTTGATATGAGTCTGCATCAGTTGATTTATTATGGTCTCTGTGTAGTCAAACCTCTCTGCTAATGATAATCAGTATTTGCAGCCGCTCCCCAGCGCTAGCATCACTACCTCAGCTCCACCTCAGATCATCAGCGATTACATTCTCATAAGGAGCATGCAACCTAGACCCCTCGCATGCACAGTTCACAGTAGGGTTCACGCTCCTATGAGAATCTAATGCTGCCACTGATTTGACAGGAGATGGAGCTCAGGCAGCAATGGGAGCGATGGGGAGTGGCTGTAAATACAGATGAAGCTTCACTTGCTCGCCTGCCGCTCACCTCCTGCTGTGTGGCCCGGGTCCTAACAGGCCATGGACGGGTTGGGGATGCCTGCTTTAGGAGACAAGTCTTTTTTTTTTTTCCCCTTTATTTATTTATTTACTTATTTATTTACATATACATATATCTCTTCTTTTTCAAATTTTTTTCCCATTTAGGTTATTACAGAATTTTTTAAAAAAATATTTCTTTGTTTTATTTATTTATTTTTCTTTTTTCTTTTTTTGGCTGCATTCGGTCTTAGCTGCAGCACATGGGCTCTGCGTTGTGGTGTGCGGGCTTCTCTCTAGTTGTGGTGCATAGGCTCCAGGGCATGTGGGCTCTGTAGTTTGTGGCACACAGGCTCTCTCGTTGAGGTGTGCGAGCTCAGTGGTTGTGGCGCGTGGGCTTATTTGCCGCACAGCATGTGTGGGATCTTAGTACCCTGACCAGGGATCGAACCCACGTTCCCTGCATTGGAAGGCGGATTCTTTACCACTGGACCACCAGGGAAGTCCCCTATTACAGAATATTGAGTAGAGTTCCCTGTGCTATACAGTAGGTCCATGTTGGGTATCTGTTTCAAATATAGTAGTGTGTATACGTCAATCCCAAAGTCTCAATTTCTGCTTTGGTACCCTAAGTTTGTTTTCAAAGTCTGTGAGTCTGTTTCTGTTTTGTAAATACGTTCATTTGTATATATATATATTTTTAGATTCCACATATAAGCAATATCATATGATATTTGTCTTTCTGTGTCTGACTTACTTAGTATGATAATCTCTAGGTCCATCCATGTTGCTGCAAATGGCATTATTTCATTCTTTTTAAAGGCTGAGTAATATTCCATTGATATGTACCACATCTTTATCCATTCATCTGTCAGTGGACATTCAGGTTGCTTCCGTGTCTTGGCTATTGTAAACAGCGCTGCAATGAACGTTAGGGTGCATGTATCTTTCCAAGCATGGTTTTCTCCAGATACGTGCCCGGGAGTGGGATTGCTGGATCATATGGTAGTTCTATTTTTAGTTTTTTAAGGAATCTCCGTATTGTTCTACATAGTGGCTGCACCAATTTACATTCCCACCAAGAGTGTAGGAGGGTTCCCTTTTCTCCACACCCTCTTCAGCATTTATTGTTTGTAGACTTTTTTGATGATGGTCATTCTGACTGGTGGGAGACAAGTCTTTATATTAAGATTTATTTATATAGCTCTTACTAATTCTAATTAAACTCAGGGAAAATTTAATCATTTATAGGAAATTTCTGTAATAAGGAATCAGGAGCACACAAGTAGAAAAATACCTAACCAAACGTTTAGGTGAGACATGTATCTCCTGCTGCCTGAAAGCTAGTGTTGCCAAGTTCACTTCTGAATATACTGTGATTTTGGCTGTTTAATACTTTCATGTTTCTTTGTGTATGGCTGCTGTTTTTATAGTTGTTCAGCCAGTAATCTTGAACATCAGACACTGAAACTTTCCTTCATTGTGTATGCTTTTTGGGAATTGTTAGTTTAATATTAAGAAAATATAAAATAGAGATTTTATTTTATTTTCCTATATTTAGAAACTTTTACACTACACAAAAATAGGAAGTCCAAACGGCAGGCTACCATCTGTGCTGCTAAAGAGATTTTACAGTGCTGTGCCTTCTGGAGTAGAAGTTTTCTTATCTATATGATAAATTAGAGATCATACATTTATAAGAAAAATTTGCTTAAATTCCTCTGTCTCATACAGTTAGGCATTTGATATGAGACAATTATATATTTAGAATACATGGAATTCACAAAACCATGAATTCTTATTTTATTATTAGATACATTTAGCTCTTCTCAGGAAAAACAAAGTAGTTGCTATGTTTGGGAAAATAATACCCATAACCTAAAAAACAAAACAAAACTATGTTTCTTTTTCTCACCTCCATGATCCATCACATTTGAATTTATAAGATAGGTCTCAATTAATTTTATGAAAGAATTCACCAAAAGACACATTCCCCCATTGGCTTTAAAAAGATTTAAGGTCATAAGATATATTTATGATCACAATTGATACATTGTTTATTTTGGAAGTACTGTTCTACATGGAAATGTCTTAACTGTACCTTAAAAAAGTTACTTTTATACTCATATTTAATCTTCATGGTCAGGATATACTCATGGGTAAATAGTTCTAATTTTGTTATATGTTATATATTATTTTAAAATTCAAATTAATGTGCACCTGGTTGATATTTTTTAATTTTAATTAATTAATTTTTGCCCGTGTTGGATCTTCATTGCTGCGCGCAGGCCTTCTCTAGTTGCGGCAAGCAGGAGCTGCTCTTCACTGCAGTGTGCGGGCTTCTTATTGCGTTGGCTTCTCTTTGTTGTTGAGCATGGGATCTAGGCACGCAGGCTTCAGTAGTTGTGGCACACGGGCTCAGTAGTTGTGGCTCAGGGGGTCTAGAGCACAGGCTCAGTAGTTATGGTGCACAGGCCTAGTTCTTCGCCACATGCGGGATCTACCCAGACCAGGGCTCAAATCCGTGTCCCCTGCATTGGCAGGCAGATTCTTAACCACTGTGCCACCAGGGAGGTCACTGGTTGATATTTTAGAATGTACTCCTTGCATATGTTAAAGTAACAGTAACGTTTGTTTACCTTAAAATATCTTAGAGTAAGTGTTGAAGAAATAAGGAACTATGTTTTTGTCCCACCATCTGACATCACTGTTCATTTTTCAGGACAGTATGTGCAGGCCTTTCGCAGCCATCCCCATGAACCTCTCTACAGCCTCTGTATAGGCCTAACCTTTATTCACATGGCATCTCAGAAGTATGTATTAAAGAGACATGCTCTTATTGTGCAGGTAATTCATTTGGATTCCTCATTACTTGATTTTATGTTCTTTAAAAATGAATATACTTAATGCTTTTGTTTCTCTGCTTCAAAAGTAGCACCTGCTTAGCGCACATGTTGGGAGTACCCAACACCTATCCCTATGTTCAGCACTCATGGACCAACATCTAGGGGTACTCCTGGCTAAGACTTATGCAACCATGTAGAAAAGGGTGCGCAGCCAGATCATAAATGAAGACGACACAGGCAGAATCTTAAGGAACCCTGTGCAGACTTCCTTATATTCTGGAGCCTCAGAGGCTTCCAGCCTTCTAGGTCCTTAAGATTTTTTAATTAATTTAAAAAATATAATAATATATACATACAATAAGGTATGAATACGTGCCTGTGTGACTGTTTCCTTACATCATCACCACAATGTGCTCTTTTAAAGTCTTTTTAGTTCGTAAAGCAGTTTGAAATTACCTTTTTGTTTTCTTGTTTACTTTTTTACATAACTTGTCTCCTCTAGTAAAAATATAAACTCCAAGAGATCAGAGATCTTATCTGTCTTGTACACCCCTGTATCCTCAACACTTTTGCTTCTATTTCAGTTTTTATGTTTATATATTTGATGCATGTATATACCTGTTTTTTAAGTAGTTAGGAAAGGAAAGAAAACGTTCTCTCTCAGATTTTTGTCTTTAAATTTCTCATTTTTAAATAAGAAGTTAAGATATTTCTGAGATTGTCTGCTGTTACTTAACAGAGAACCATGTCAGTGGAGTAGAGGTCATATTCATATACTCAAATGGGTTCATTTATTGTGCAGAAAGTATGATTTGTTTACTGAGCATAATTTTTATTCCTAGAATGCATTAATTCTAAAGAATTCCTTAATTTTTATTATTAATTTATGAAGGAAAATTTGTGACCATTTATTACATAACAGATCACCCAGGAAATTTGCATTTTATTTTCTGTACGTACAAATTAGTTGACTTACTCTTAACTCAGGTAATATATTTATTTAATTATTTACATCAGATACTTGCACCTTGCAACTTGAAGCTTTCCGTGCATGATAAAAGTTGAAGCTGCATTAAAGGGGAAAGTGAATACAAAAAGAAGAAGCAAGTTGCTTTTTGGACACTGTGACACACAGGGAGCCTGCATCATTACAGTTAGGCTCTGAAATAATCAGTTTCTCCATAAAACTATTGAGTCAGCAGTTTTCAGAGGGAAAAAAAAGCAAGTTTTTTAAGGTTAAGAGGTTATTAAGGTTCTGAGAGGTATATAAAGGGTACCATTTACCCAGAAAGGTTAGATATGCTCAAGTGAGTTTGCTCATGAGGATGAAACTTTCTGAATTGTCATTATAAGGGCTTGGATTTTATATTTTGGTCAAGCTTTTAGACATGTATCTCAAACCTAAAATTTTACTGGCCTCTAATGCCACAAAAGCCAACTTGAAACCATAAAAATATATATTCTGTGTGCTTATAGATTACAGATCTTTAACAGCTAGTTGTAACACTTGGCTTTGTTTTCTATGAATTCTTTTGTCTTTAGTTTAAAAAAATCTCTCTTCTACACCTTCAGAAGAGATATTGACTATATTGTGATATGACACTACACCACAGGCATATATTCTTTTAGGGTGGCACTGCCTTTCTGAAAAAAAAAGGTTTGTATTCCTGTACCTGGCACATACTGTCAAACGAGTGAACTATTGAATTATTTATCTTTTTCTTTTTGGTAGGGCTTTTCCTTTCTTAATCGATACCTCAGTCTACGTGGGCCTTGCCAGGAGTCATTCTACAATTTGGGCCGTGGCCTTCACCAACTGGGGCTGATTCACCTTGCAATCCACTATTATCAGAAGGCCCTGGAGCTCCCTCCATTCATGGTAGAGGTATTGTATGATTTACTCTAAAAACTGAAGAGTCACCTCATTTCATCTGTAGATAAGTGCAGTTAGCTCAGTGTAGTGGTCCAGACAGTGAAATTAATTGTAGCTTATATATCAAAATATATTTTCCCTTTATTGAATGCACTTATTTAATTATGTTCAGCAACAAGTAATTCTTTGATATCCTGGCCTTAATGACCTGATCAGCAACCATGTGGCCATATATGACTTCTGGTTATGGCCATTTCAGTTATCCTAAGATAGCCCCTGTGGTTAACAGGTGTGAGATGGTAGACAGGAAGCCTGAATATTGAGTAATGTAGCCATTATTCATTTCCAAGTTCAAAAGTGTAACTAACATGCTTCTTTATAAAAATGAAAGACCAATATAAATGCAGTTTTGTTTAAGATAATGTAATGTAGGGTGAAGTGTTGCCAATACTATGATAGTCTGTGTTTAAAGCCTGATTTTTAATTTCTGAAGGAAAGTATGTTTTCACAGTTAATTTTTTTAAGTTGCACTCATAATCTCCACATTCCCTCACAACTGTTTTCTATTACCCTTGTTCAAGTTTAGCCGTTAAGCAAATGAATACATATTCTTACAGTTATGCTGATGAAATACATATACTTTTGTGTTCTTCATTTCATAAGTACTTTATGTATTGCTCCTTAAGCTTTATAGGTATCATTTTTCATTGTTGCAGATGTTTTTTCAGTTGACTACAAAATTTTGCATGGGGAAGATTAGGAACATAGATCTAATCTATTCCATTGAGTTCATTGCTTTGTTATTTAAGTAGAAAAAAAGGTAATAACACTCATAAGGTAATCATTATAATCAATTTGGTGTATGCCCTCCTAGACCTATTCTTTATATGCCTTTCTGTTATGTAGTACAGGTATTTTTTTCCCATCTGGTCATTTGTTTTATGATTTTTTTTTTTTGCATGCAGAAGTTTTACATTTTTTATGAAGTCATATCAATCTTTCTCTTTATAGTTTCTACTTTTGCTGTTATACTTAGAAGGGCCTTTCCTACCCAAGATTATATTGTTGTATTTTTCAACGGTATTTTTCTTTTATGGTTTCACTTTTTTACTCTTAAATCCTAATTCACCTACAGTTCATTCTGCCATGTCTTGCGGATGAAACATTTTCCTTTAACTTATTGGTTACACATTTAAAAATATTTGATGATATAGTTACTGTAACAAGTAACTGAATCAGCATTACCTAATAAAAATTTAAATCCAAGATATATGTCTAGTTTTATAATTTTTTTTTAGTATTATGAATTTTAATAGTTTTTTGAACACTTACAAAACTATTTACTTGCCATAAAATTGTCCTGGTTGTCAGTTTGAAATATAACTCATTCATATGTTTTTTCCCCCTAGGGTATGGAAGTTGACCAGTTAGACTTACGAAGAGATATTGCCTACAATTTGTCTCTCATATATCAGAACAGCGGGAATATTGGAATGGCTCAGAAGCTTTTATATACTTATTGTTCTATATAAAGCCCCTCAGCTGGGTAAGCAGCTTGGGCAGCTGCTGTGCATGGACCAGTATTTTCTGTCTCAGGGCTTATTATTAACCCAAAAATGGACATGATAATTTCAGAATTATCCGTGTATTTCATTTTTAATATATGATAATAATTTTTTGGTAGATATGCAAAATTATCATTCCTGCAAGAATTTTATATTGGTCTGTCATTTTCCGTTACCATTTTTTGGTAAGTTGTCCCCCAAACTGAAATGGACAGTATTGGCCATTGAACCAGCATAGAGTTGAATACACTATTTTTTTCACACCATTTATTCATTTGTGTATTTAATACTGTATATTAAACACCTACTATGTACCAGGCACTGTGATAGGTGTTTGGAATACAGTAGTGAGAAAGATATTACCTCTCAATACAGTTCTTTAAATACAGACTTTGAGCATATATTTATTTGAAAGAAATGTTTGCTACATTTCTACATATATCATTGTTGTCAGTCATCCATTTCTTAGTGCCCTGTTACTATTGCCATTAGTTTTTCAAATACATAGAAAAGGAGGTTGCTTAGTAGAGGAAAGACAGATTGGGACTCTTACGTCAGCACAATTATGTAATTCACTTAGTTCCTTGCAAACTTATTTTAAATGGTTATGTGGTAGGAAGACAAGTAATGGAGTTAATCTTTTACTTTTCACCTGCATGTATCTTAGCCATAAAGACTGAGAGCTGGGAGGCTGGGCTTAATTCATAGCAAACTGCTCTGAGGCAAATACAAAAATGCATTATCAATGTTTGGCTTTCTGACCAAAAGAAAAAAGAAAAAAAGAAAAGGTGACTAGGTTCAATAGCCATGACCCGGTTTTCATTTCAAGATCACTAGGAGTGTAATAGGAAGACTAGGGAATTGTATGTATGGAATAAGGTGTTACTGATGAAGTCGAAACAGATAAAAACCTTTTACTTATCTCAAATATTACATATTCTTGGATCTAAGATAACAGTACTTGTTAGATATACTTGGTTTAATAAGAGCTTTTTAGAGTTTCTTTTTAGGGGGAAACAAATACTATAATAAATGTACATGTGGATTATAAGACCCAGTCCAACTGTGGGAGGAAAACAAGTATGAGACGTAGGATGAAAGAAGTACAGTGGGGGCTTTTTAGAAATTCTTACCACTGTTTACACTGTATACATAACTTTGTAGTTGAGAAGCAGAATTTGTATGTAATAAGTAAATGTATGGTGCACCCTGTATGTGTGTGTGTGTGTGTATATAGAATTTAAATAAACTTTATTTTTGTAATTAAAGTTGTGTCATATGCTTATATATATATTTTATCTCATGCCATTTGCAGGTAATAATAAAGCCGACTGTGATAGAGTGATCAGGTAGATTTGTGTCTTGGAATCCTGTGGAGTTGAGTACTCTGTGTTCAGAATTTCTCTCTTGAATTAAACTCACTGTGCTGTAACTCCAGCATCTGCTGAATAGCCTTGGAGGACACAATAAATCTCTCTAGCAGTCTTCTAAGAAAAAAAAGCTGATAATTGCATGAGTTTGTTTAACATTTAAAATCATAACTACCATTTGCTGAGTGTTTTTACTATGCTACTGTGTTCTAAGTACAGTGCAGGATATTTTAGATACATTAACTCTGATTCTGTCGGAGAATCACCTGCAAGGTAGGTATTATTGTTGTTATGATCATCCCCATCTTATTTATGAGAGATTAAATACCATGTTCAGGATCACTAGCAAGCTACTCCTTGCTCAGAGATGTTCCTTTGGAGGAACATACTTGCTACAGTTCCGAGTAACAACATAAAAATTGAGCATAAATTTACTTTAGAAAGAAGAAGGAGATGAGCAGTTATTTTTTCTATCCTCCAGGCCTTCTGCCTATTTTTTTTTAATTAAAAAAGTTTTCATTTTATTTTTTCTATTTTTTTAATTAAATTTTTATTTTATAGTTGATCTACAATGTTGTGTTTTAGGTGTACAGCAAAGTGATTCAGTTATACATATACATATATCCATTCTTTTTCAGATTCTTTTCTCATATACATTATTACAAAATATTGAGTACAGTTCTCTGTGCTATACAGTAGGTCCTTGTTGGTTATCTATTTTATATATAGTAGTGTGTATATGTTAATCCCAACTTCCTAATCTATCCCTCCTTTCCACACGTCCCCATTGGTAACTATAAGTTGGTTTTCAGAGTCTGTGAATCTGTTTTTGTTTTGTAAATAAGTTCATTTGTATCAGTTTTTTAGATTCCACATATAAGTGATATACGATATTTGTCTTTCTCTGTCTGATTTACTTCACTTAGTATGATCATCTCTAGGTCCATCCATGTTGCTGCAAATGACATTATTTCATTCTTTTTTATGGCTGAGTAGTATTCCATTGTATATATGTACCACATCTTTATTCATTCCTATCAGTGGACATTTAGGTTGCTTCCGTGTCTTGGCTATTGTAAATAGTGCTGCAATGAACATTTGGGTATCCATATCTTTTTCAAACTATGGTTTTCTCCAGATGTATGTCCAGGAGTGGGATTGCTGGATCATATGGTATTTCTGTTTTAGTTTTTTAACATACTTCCATACTGTTCTCCATAGTGGTTGTACCAGTTTACATTCCCACCCACAGTGTAGGAGGGTTCCCTTTTTCCCACACCCTCTCCAGCATTTATTGTTTGTACACTTTTTGATGATGGCCATTCTAACCAGTGTGAGGTGATACCTCATTGTAGTTTTGATTTGCAGTTCTCTAATAATAAGTGATGTTGAGCATCTTTGCATGTGCTTATTGGCCATCTGTATGTCTTCTTTGAAGAAATGTCTATTTCGATCTTCTGCCCATTTTTTTGATTGGGTTGTTTGATATTGAGCTGCATGAGCCGTTTGTATATTTTGGAGATTAATCCCTTGTTGGTCGCATCATTTGCAAATTTTTTTTTCATAATATGGGTTGCCTTTTCGTTTTGTTTATGGTTTCCTTTGCTATGCAAAAGCTTTTAAGTTTAGTTAGGTCCAATTTGTTTATTTTTTTCATTACTATAGGAGGTGGATCCAAAATGATATTGCTATGATTTATGTCAAAGAATGTCCTGCCTTTGACATAAATATGTCAAATTTGAAAATATGATTTATGTTGTCCTCTAAGAGCTTTATAGTATCCAGTCTTTTTTTTAAATTTATTTATTTTTTGGCTGTGCCACGCAGCTTGTGGGATCTTAGTTCCCTGATCAAACTAAGATCAAACCCGGGCCCTCAGTAGTGAGAGCACACAGTCCTAACCACTGAACTGCCAGGGAATTCCCTATATTATCCAGTCTTACATTTAGGTCTTTAATTCATTTTGAGTTTATTTTTGTGTATGGTGTTAGAGAATGTTCTAGTTTCATTCTTTTACATGTAGCTGTCCACTTTTCCTAGCACCACTTATTGAAGAGACTGTCTTTTCTCCATTGTATTGTTGCCTCCTTTGTCATAGATGAATTGACCATAGGCACATGGATTTATTTCTGAACTTTCTATCCTGTTCCATTGATCTATAATTCTGTTTTTGTGCCAGTACCATACTGTTTTGATGACTGTAGCTTTGTAGTATAGTCAGAAGTCAGGGAGCCTGATTCCTTCAGCTTCATTTTTCCTTCTTGGGATTGCTTTGGCTATTTGGGGTCTTTTGTGTTTCCATACAAATTGTAAAATTTTTGGTTCTAGTTCTGTGAAAAATGCCATGGGTAATTTGATAGGGATTGCATTGAATCTGTAGATTTCCTTGGTAGTATAGTCATTTTGACAATATTGATTCTTCCAATCCAAGAACATAGTATATTTTTCCATCTGTGCGATCTTCAGTTTCCTTCATCGGTGTCTAATAGTTTTCAGAGTACAGTTCTTTTGCCTCCTTAGGTAGGTTTATTCCTAGGGCTTTTATTCTTTTGAATGCAATGGTAAATGGGATTGTTTCCTTAATTTCTCTTTCTGATCTTTCATTGTTAATGTATAGAAATGCAACAGATTTCTGTGTATTAGTTTTGTATCCTGTAACGTTACTGAATTCATTGATGAGATCTAGTAGTTTTCTGGTAGCATCTTTAGGGTTTTCTATTTATAGGATTATGTCATCTGCAAACAGTGACAGTTTTACTTCTTCTTTTCCAATTTGGTTTCCTTTTATTTCTTTTTGTTCTCTGATTGTCATGGCTAGGACTTCCAAAACTATGTTGAATAAATATGGTGAGTGTGGGCACCCTTGTCTTGTTCCTGATCTTAGAGGAAATGCTTCCAGCTTTTCATCATTGAATATGCTGTTAACTGTAGGTTTGTCATATATGGCCTTTATTATGTTGAGGTAGGTTCCCTCTATGCCCACTTTCTGGAGAGTTTTTTTGTTTTATCATAAATGGGTGTTGAACTTCGTCAAAAGCTTTTTCTGCGTCTATTGAGATGATCATATGACTTTTATTCTTCAATTTGTTGATGTGGTGTGTCATACTAATTGATTTTCAGATATTGAAAAATCCTTGCATCACTCAGATAAATCCGAATTGATCATGGTGTTTGATCCTTTTAACATATTGTTGGATTTGGTTTGCTAGTATTTTGTTGAGGATTTTTGCATCTTGTTCATCACTGATATTGGCTTGTAATTTTCTTTTTTGTGGTATCTTTGGTTTTGGTATCAGGGTGATGGTGGCCTCAAAGACTGAGTTTGGGAGTGTCCTTCCTCTGCAATTTTTTGAAATAGTTTCAGAAGGATAGGTGGTAACTCACCTCTAGATGTATGATAGAATTCGCCTGTGAAGCCATCTGGTCCTGCACTTTTGTTTGTTGGGAGTGTTTTTGTTTTTTGCGGTATGCGGGCCTCTCAGTGTTTTGGCCTCTCCCATTGCGGAGCACAGGCTCTGGACACGCAGGCTCAGCGGCCATGGCTCACGGGCCCAGCTGCTCCGCGGCACGTGGGATCTTCCCAGACTGGGGCACGAACCCACGTCCCCTGCATTGGCAGGCGGACTCTCAACCACTGTGCCACCAGGGAAGCCCTGTTGGGAGTTTTTTAATCAGAGTTTTAATTTCAGTGCTTGTGATTGGTCTGTTCATATTTTCTATTTCTTTCTGGTTCAGTCTTGGGAGATTATACCTTTCTAATAATTTGTCCATTTCTTCTAGGTTGTCCATTTTATTGGCATATAGTTGCTTGTAGTAGTCTCTTATGATCCTTTGTATTTCTGCGGTGTCTGTTGTAACTTCTTTTTCATTTCTAATTTTATTTATTTGAGTCTTCTCCCTTTTTTTCTTGATGAGTCTGGCTAATGGTTTATCAATTTTGTTTATTTTTTTCAAAAACCAGATTTTAGTTTCATTGATCTTTTCTATTTTCTTTGTTTCTCTTTCATTTATTTCTGCTCTGATCTTTATGCTTTCCTTCTATTGATACTAACTTTGGGTTTTGTTTGTTCTTCTTTCTCTAGTTGCTTTTGGGGTAAGGTTAGGTTTTTTTAAGTTGAGATTTTTCTTGTTTCCTGATGTAAGATTGTATTGCTATAAACTTCCCTCTTAAAATTGCTTTTGCTGCATCCCATAGGTTTTGGATCATCGTGTTTTTATTTTCATTTGTCTCCAGGTATTTTTTGATTTCCTCTTTGATTTCTTCCGCGATCCATTGGTTGTTTAGTAACATATCGTTTAGCCTCCACATGTTTTTATTACAGTTTTTTTTTCTTGTAGTTGATTTCTAATCTTACAGTGTTGTGGTCGGAAAACATGCTTGATATGATTTCAGTATCCTTAAATTTACCAAGCCTCGCTTTGTGGCCCACCATGTGATCAGTCCTGGAGAACGTTCCATGAGCACTTGAGAAGAATGTGTATTCTGCTGCTTTCAGATGGCATGTTCTATAACCATCAATTAAGTTCATCTGGTTTAATGTGTCATTTTAGGCCTGTGTTTCCTTACTGATTTTCTGTTTGGATGATCTGTCCATTGATGTAAGTGGGGTGTTATGGTCCCCCACTATTATTGTGTTACTGTCAGTTTCTTCTTTTATGGCTGTTAGTATTTGCCTTATATATTGATGTGTTCCTATGTTGGTTGCATATATATTTACTATTGTTTTATCTTCTTGGATTGATTCCTTGATCATTATGTAGTGTCCTTCTTTGTCTCTTGTAACAGTCTTTATTTTAAAGTCTATTTTGTCTGATATGAGTATGGCTACTCCAGCTTTCTTTTGATTTCCATTTGCATGCAATATCTTTTTTCCATCCCCTCACTTTCAGTCTGTGTG